AAACACAAAGACAACACACATATAGATATTCATTACTTGGACAAGATTGTCAAACGATCCAGGGTAAACCACCCCCAATGATGCAGTGCCACTATGCGTATTGTGTAATAAATTACATCACATACTTTGCTGTCAAAGAGCTGATTGTAGGCAATGATCAGTTGCTCTTTCTTTGCCGTTTTGGCGACGTTTTTTATGTTTCCCAGCAGCTTGTGCTCGCTGAGGAACTGAAAGAGGAAAGGCAATTAAAAGGGGAAAGTTAACATCTTTTTTTTCACCATCATCTGCTTAAATCAGTGACATGTTTTTGGTAATGGTTACGCAAAACCCGAACAGTAAATGCAACAGTTTCTGCTCCTGGTAAGAAGAAACAACGAGCCATGGCTTCTACCAAAGATGTGCATGAATCCAGTGCATTAATACTACTTTATACTGCTGTACGTTCTACTTTCAGGATGCTAAAACACAAACGCTTTCCTAGCGCTACGCCCCTTAGCTAACTACGCAGCATGCTGCAGTTCATAGCAAGCACTGACACTTTAACCGGCACATATTCAGAATTAAATATACGCAGGTCTTGAACGATAAAACATACCGAGTGGGCTGCATTGTCCTGAATGAACTTTATTATATCTTTCTTGGGCAAATCATCACTTTTTAGCTGTTCGTCGCTCCACTCCCGTTTGGGTTCAGCCGCCATTTTGGGAGGCGTGCTGATGAACTCTGACCTCCCTGGCGTAAACACCGTAAACTGCGCACACTTAAGCGTTTTATTATGAGTCACCTGTATTATAGACTATACGTGTCATTTCTCCCATGAATTGTCTGGCGGTCTAGTTTGCGACCTGGGGATAAAAGTAAAATAAAATAACATTAAAAATAACCAATATTGTACTTTATGGGAAAAGAAAATTCAGCACCAGGAACATATTCCGAATCAACAAATCATTAAATCAGGAAGATGCGCCGAAATGATAAAGCGCCATTTGATTAAAGTGGTTAATATTTGGGAGATAGGAACAGTAATATGGCAGTGACTTACCGTTTTGAGGTGTGTATGCTACCACCAAGTGGACAAAAACATACCCAACTTTTCAGTGTCTGTCTGCCTTAAGGTCAATAGAATAGAGAAAGCTAAACGGATGTTTCTAAAACTGTCACATTACTCTAAAAGTAGAAAAATAAGATTTGATGCACTCTTACTTTTACCTTGTCAGGTAATAGACAGGAAAATCATCTGATCCCTTTTTAATATGTTTTTTTTTTTTGTGGAGAAAAATATAATATAATAATAATAATCACCTTTATTTGGCCAAGCATGTTACACACACAAGGAATTTGTTTCCGGTACAGAACTGAGGCAGCTATCTACAGCACCAACTCATACCGATGGCTCTAACCATCGGGGGAAACTTGGGGGTTCAGTGTCTTGCCCAAGGACACTTCTACATATGGACTGCAGGCACTGTGATTCGAACCTCCAACCCTCTGGTTGGGAGACGACCTCTCTACCCACTGTACCACAGTTGCCCCAACTATGATATTGCATGATATTGCAGTAATACATTAACTCCAGCCCAGGTCTCTCTGCACAGTAAATAAATGGCAAAATTACTCTTTTTTTTTTAAATATTTCCATATTTATTGCATTAGATGCAACACATAAGACAGACACAGTCTGCCACAGTCACAGTTACAATATGTTCAATAATATACTCCTTTAATACCCCAGACCTTACTGAGAACCACAAAACCATTAGTGGTATAAATCAGGTCACTGCACACCAAAATTGTCACATTATGTTGAAACTCACAATACTTCAATCCACATGTGAATACAACCAAAAAAAACACAGATGTCCTGGTGGGGCTATATTTTTCTCTTTCCATAATGGAGCAGAATAGGGACATGGCAAAACTTAAAAAAAAAAAAACCCAAAACAAAACAAGTCCACCTTCATGAGATGCACTCCCTTTTTTTTCTGTCTACAGGCTATAGGCCAGGCATACTAACAAAACAAAATAATTTAGCAAACAAAACCAGACAGCAACAGTCACTGCAAAATATAAACAATCATTACCAACTGAAAGATTAAATATTTCCAGTAGCCTACATTAAAAGTTATAATTTTTAACTACAAAAATCACATTAGCTCTGTTCACCTGGTCTGCATTTTCAAATACGTCATAAAATGTTGCATGGCCTCACTGCCACATCCAGATGGATCACTGGCATTAAATCCTAATGAAACATACATTAATTCTCTTACCCTATATCGACCTCTCACTCAGACGGCAGCAAGAACATCTTATCTGGCCCCCCACAGACACAAGTGGGACCATCCACAAGACCTAACCCTCCTTATCCACTCCTCTCCCAATCAGCGGGCAGAAGCCCACATCACCAGATGCCACTCGTTACAAGATGATGTAAAGACCTTCTATTCCGTGTAAATAAATATTGTATCCAATATCATATGTGGAAGCTTTAAACATCTCCCATTTCCTTCTTTTTCATTTGCTCATAGCCAATGACTGTTTATGATCCTCTCTTTTATTTTTTAAACTGTGCTGGGATACATAAAATGGTACAAATTCCCATGTGTACAGCTACAACTGGTGATCTCCACTGTGCCTGCAGGTTATTTATGTAAAGTACTTTTGGTAATGTCTACATTTAATTTAGGTTTCATGAATGTCCTGTACTTTTATATCGTCTTTGAATACTTGTAGGCTATTCAAAGTATAACTACACTCTTCTTGTAGATGCCTGTAGACACTTCATCTTCAAAGTGCTTCAGGTGCATTAGCACCAGCTCTAAGCTGAAAACTTTGTTTTCCTGTGGCTCTGACTGACTGGTTCCTCTGCTGCACTTTTGTTTTTCTGTGTTGCATTTGGGGCAAACACCATCACCGTTCTCTGAGCTTATATTTTGTTGTTTATTTTCATTTTATGTATTTTATTTCATTTTACCAATGTTTTATCTTTATTTTGCCTTAATTCATTTTATGATGGTTTTAATACTGGCTTTTCCTGTTTCTCTTGCTTATGTAAAGCAGTCTGAGTTGCTTTTGTGCATGAATTGTGCTATAAAAAAAAGCTGCCTTGTCTTGCCTTCTGGAATCAGCTCTATAGTTTATTACATTAATTTGTAAGGGACCGTATACAAAAACCATTACTGTCATACAAACAGAACAGATGTATCACTCTACATTCAGCTTCCATTTGCTTTGTCTCCCCTATTTTTGGGAAGCCACTGGTGTTACAAGTAAGGTAATTTTTAAAATGAAACCCAATTTTTAGAGCTATTACTCTAGACTACCTCCATACCTGCAAGCGGTTGAATGATACAGCTGCTCAAATGTTCATAAATTTTCTGCAAAGAGTGTTTATTGCACTGTATCTATATTTTTGTTCAAAAGTGTGGTTCCTGCCCATAAAACCACCAAACTGTGTCTCATTATATTCCTACCAGACATGTGGCTTTATTCTACATGAAGGGTTACATGTTGGAGGTTACCATAGCAAGAGCTTCATGCCTTTTGTCAGTTTCTGCTGCAGTTTCTCAAAGTTAACATGACAGTCTCATCTTTGTTGCATCATCCTGCCGTTCTGTGTGCACCCTGGTGTTTGACAGGAAATGCAGGATTCATGCACCCAGTGAGAGCTCTACCATAAAAAGGCCTGCATAAATACAACTAACCCTGCTCACTTCTATTCATCAATAAACTTGAACAGCAGTGAGATGAAGATAATGAAGAAGAAGAAGATGATGATGATAATGATGAGTTGCTATGACTGTACCTGTAAAACAGGGTCACGCAGAATTTTTACCCTGGTTGGTTACTAGGCAACAACAGTGACACGGGGTGAGAAGCTCACGAGGAAGAAGAGAGGGCTAATTATCCCTTTAGAGTATCTCTCCCAGGTCTCATTTCATCTCCTCTGTTGCCTGTGAAGCAGAGAACGTCACTACATACAAACTGTGAGGATGAGTTTGCTTCAGGAGAATTTAAATCATTTTACAACTCTATACATTGTAAAACACGAAAAAACGGGCCTCTATCTTTGATTTTGTGATGTTTCTTTTCTTTTTTTTTGGTGACACATATACCTAATATTCAGGTGTTAATTATCACTTAGCCAGAGGAGCCTACTTAAAATCTTCCTCTTTCCTCACGTGGTCTCTTTTCTTCATTCATACGCCAGCAATATAGTGTTTACTTTTACATTTTGGAGTCATCAGCTCACTGTTCACGAGTATCTGAGTGAAAGTTGCATCACAGGAAGCTTCAGGAGAAAACAAAAGGTGACTGAGGAGCATTCCTGGTGTGTTGCATTGTGATGAAGTATTTCTTAGCAATGCAAAGCTGAGGCGCCTAAATGAGCTCACATACTGAGCGAGGGAGGAATCTAATTTGATGCACCTCCTGAGAGCTCTTCACATCTACAGGTTACACAAACAAGTGATGCACATTCCCTGAGATGTGCTTCTCTGCACAGAGACTGCAAACAATATAATCCTCGAGTCATGTCTGTAGAAGTACTTCCTTAGTTACACACAATTCAAGCACATGAATTGTCAGCGAAATGGTTCTGAGCAGCCTTTATTTTAGCATGCTGTGATTAACTCTTGAGCAACGTAGGCCTATACACTCACTGACCACTTTATTAGGCATGCCTGTACAATTGTATACAATTCAATGTAACACTTCCACCTTAGCATCTGTGTTTATGAAGCTCAGAATGTTTCATTTTTTGGTGAAATCATAAAAAATGTATAAATTCATACATACATACATGACTGGAGACAAAACATGGTGAACTATGGTGGTCAAATTTTTAAAGGTCTCAGTGCCAAATGGAAATTTAAACCATTACAGTTTTCAGATTATTTCTCATATTGTCACCCTAATGATTCTGTACATAGTAAACTTTCGTCATGGCCTAGATTTCTTCTCTAGATATATAACTGTCAGAGTCACTGCAGTCACTTCTGTTCAGTCTGACGGCAGTTACAACCTCCAACCTAAAGGGGGCAGTATGTACGCACAATTAATTGGTGGATCAGGTTCTGTTCCGCATTTTCAAAAGATTAATATTTTTTGTATGTGATTTACAGTACGGTTTGACAGGAGGGAAAATGGCCATGATTCATCCTGTTGAAGAGCAAAACAATAATAAATGCTATAAACCATGTAAATAAATTACAGGTGCTGGCTGAGGAAAAGACGGCTTGCAATGTTGCTCAGCTACAGAGTCAACAATTGACTGTCTGGTAATTTAGTGTCTATGGTCAACATAGACACATATTTATCTGTAAATAGTATGTGCAAAAAGGTCACTGTGTGTAACCATTAATTTGGTAATGTTCTTTAAAATACTCTGCAAAAGGTAAAATTTATTAGTATGAAATTTATTATAATGACCTTGTTGCACAAAGAAATTGTCTTCTTTTTAGATAACTAGATTTAGTATGAGTTAAATCATTAAGCTTTTTTTAAACTGTTGTTTACCAGTGAAATCAGTCTAGGTTCAGGAGGAAATATTAAGCCATCATGTCATTCTTTTTTATTCAGCAGTGCTTTTCAGATTTATTCATATGTCAGCCTTATCTTCACCCTGAAGATAAAGTTTTCAGGTTTAAAGGAAAGTGAGCAACACAGGCAGAGAGAAAGAAAGAAGTCAGTTAGGCTAAATGATCAGTCATTTGAATTACCAGCAATGTAATTAATTACAGAACTGTGTTCAGG